GTGTTTGTGTGTCTGCAAATTTATTCACCGTTTGCCCTTTCAAATATCTGCTCTACATGAAAAGACAAAACACAGGAAAAGCCCCTCCACCCCGCCCAAAACAAAACAAACGAACAAACAGAAAGTGTTTACTGTACAGGTTTGCAAGATTAAAACATGAACAGGTACAATACCATCTTTAAAATAAAAAAGAATGTGATTTATACAGGACGAGAGAAGGAATTTTTGCTATGAACATCTTATTCAGCTTCTTTTAATCATCCTCGACTGACTTTTAAGCAGTTCAGCCTTGTGTCGACGACCAAGTGTTGTGTTAAGATTAGCGCTTACGATACCCACAATTTTCAGTCCGACATCTCTGGCGAAAAATGCTCGTTAGAAGCCACGGGACAAATTAAAGCCAAGCGCTTTGAATCAGCTTCCAATCGGATGAAGACTAATTAAATGAAAAATATAATCTGCCTGTCATACTTTGAAGTGACACGGAAAGAGAATTTTTGCATCACACCGAAGGCTAAAAGACACAAAGGAAAGGAGCGGGGAGATTTAAAATGGCATGCAAGAAAAAGGTCTTGTGGCTAACGATAAACTTTAAGCTGATGGGTCTTTTCCATCTGACTCTCTGAAAAAAATAAAAGAGGACCCAGGAAAATGGAGGGTCTTTTTGCAGAAGGCAAGAAGGGAAAAGATAGATCTAGGTTAACTATGATCTACAAATGTGTGTCAGTTTATCTTTTAAAACTTTAGCCTCCCCCTCTTTTACACCTTCACTTTAAAGAACAATTTTAGGAGTTTTTACAAGGGGGAAAAAAATAGGCCAGCCTCAAAATGCAAGAGAGGAAGTGGTGAAATGCAGGATTAAAATTCTATTTACAGGCATCTGTAGCTGAACAAAAACACAACTGCAGCTGAAAAAGGTGCTTTAAAACCACTTTGGGGGAAAAATAATGATCAAAAAGAAGCGCTTATTAGCTTGTTTCTGGTTTATAAACAGACTGATGTTCTGATTTTTCTTTTCTTTTCTCCCAAATATCGTGTGCAGATATGAATTTGACAGGCGCAATCTTGGAAAGCAATCCGATTTCTTTTCGGTGGGAGAAAAAAAAAACCCACACTCTTTGCCAATATCCAACCTTCGGCGTTTACACAGTTCACGCAGGAGAAAATTGCTTGTGCAGAATTGCCCCCCTTTTCTTCTCACTGACACTTCAGTTGGCTGCACTCAAGATATGAGGTCTGAAAACCTTTTGCTTGCATCTCAAGGCTCACACGTGTTCCTTACCCGAAACACAAACAATTGTTGAATTTGTAGTGAAGGAAACAGAGATGGGTTTGGTTTTCTTTCAAGAGCATCACGTTATTGTGTGCCGCCGAGTTTTGGTTCCAGCAGACAAAAATAAAGCGAGAAGATTTAGCCAAAACTTAAAAAGGCTACGCTTAAAAGGCGAGTTTTGATAAAATAGAAAAATCTATGGACTCTTTCTTGACCTGACCTGTGCAGAATAAATCCAGACATTATATAAATAGATCAGTGAAGTATTTAATTCTTTTCAGCTACAACATCAAATATGTATAAATAAATTCTAGTGTTTTGTTTTGTTTTTAATTTTGCTGGAGTGGAAAAAAACAGTTCTGATTTAAATTCCCAACAGGTTTACGGTGCTCTTTTGCATCTAACAATCAGTCTAGCTGCCTCACAACTTGAAAGACAAAATGCCAAAAATTCGGCCAGACAAAGAAAACAAATAGAAAAATAAAAACTCACCCAGGGCGCAAAGCAATTACGCCACTAAAGAACAGGATTGCAAATTTGTTAATCTTTGCACAGAGGAAGGAAAAAATTAAAGGAAAAGCAAAGCACAATTACGCCAAGATTGCAAATTTGTTAATTTTTTTTACACGGAACTGACTGGGTCAAATCAAAATGTTTTCGAGGTGCTTTGTGTGAGAAATTCTGCAGCTTGCAATATTTTTCAAGCTGAGGCATAGAAGGAAGCGAAAAAAAAAAAAAAGTGGGGAGAGTTATAGGGAGTAAAACGGTTAAAAATGGATGAAAATTTTGGCAGAGTTCCAAAGACAAATATCGAAGAATTACTAAACTCCAAATGACTAAAATGACTACAAGGAGAGCTCTGTCCCACCCCAAATTTCAATCCCAGCACTCTCCATTTTATTGAAAAGCCCCTCGATTTTAAACCTCTGGGAATGGTAGGGAAGGGATCTCAAATGCATGCCGACAAAGCCAACGTTATTGCAAAGCTCTCATGGAAAAAACGAACACTAAAAAGTCTATTTTGACAGCTACCAGAATTCAAAATTCAAAATTGCCTCTTTTCGACAGCAATGAGTCCAAGCCTGCCTTGCTACTGAAGTTTTTGCATTCTGGTTTTTTTTTTCCCCTCCCCAAAATGTGGTCTTTGGAGCTGCCAACCAAGAAGTTGGTTGGACGCTTTAGCTAAAAGCAGCAGATTGCAATTTTTTTTAAAATTGCTCTAACTCTCAGCCATATGTGAGTTGTGACCAAACTGTGGTCATTGGGAAGATTTTAGACTTACTGATGATGACTCCTGCATTTTTTCTACCTCTTTAAAAAAAAAACATATGTGGAACTCCCCTACTAATCGATTTTTCCAACAATGGAAAAAGGTGTTTTGTCATTTTTCGCTATCAGGCTTGGAAAAGGGAGAGAAGAAAAAAAAATGTCAAAAGCTCCCTGCACGCTATGGTCGTTTGTTTATTTATTTTTAAATGATCTTTGCAGGGATTAAAAACAAAAGCCTGTTTTTACCTGCCCTGGTTAGTTACCAAGAGACACTTTCTGCTCTGTTTTTGCAGAAACTGGACTGCCGGATGCGAAACAGGATGGAAGGGGTGAAAGAGAGCTTAGAAAGAAAGATAGAATTAGCCAAAACGAAGGAAGGAATAGAGTAAGGATGAACTGAGGGAGGAGGATGGCAGGGACAGCAGAAGGAAAACGGGAAGAAGGGAAAGCCGCCTCTTTTCCCAACTTCGAACCACAATCAAATATGCCTGGAATTCTCAACCTCAGCCACTTTAAGATGTGTGGACTTCAACTCCCATAATCCCCCAGCTGGCCTGCTCTAAGATACGCAGACTTCAACTCCCAGAATTCATGCTGAAAAAGCCTGCTTTGGGAGAGAAGGACTCTGGGAGTTGAAGTCCACACCGCTTCAAGATTTGAAAAAAAAAAAAATCACTTTTCTGGACAAAGCAGCGGATTTAGCAGAGGCTGTTTAAAACAAACAAACAACAACTTGAGAAGTTTACGTTTCCATGCTCCTTGTCTAAAAAAAGCCACGAAAATAAATCCGGTTTGGGGAGGGCAGATTTGGGAAGATTCTTGGTGGTCTCTCTCAAAATGACTGCCAAGGGTTGGGGATTTGGGAAGGAGGCAATGGGGAAAGAGCTGATCTGACCTCTTTTGCATCTTGGTTGATTTCTAAAGCTCGTGTCTTTAGCGCAAAAGGGAAGGAGAAGGGAAAGGCCTTGAGGGAGGGAGCTGAGGTCGGAACATGGAGAAGTTCAGCTACGAAATGAAGGATACAGTGTCCCTGGGGGTTGGAGATTAAAAACCCTGATGGGCTCAGAGAAAGGAGAAGGAAGCTGTTATTGTACAAAGGAAGAGGAAGAGGAGGAAAGGGGAGAAGAAAGGAGGGCGGAGAGGGAGGAAGGAAAGAGAGAGGGAGGGAGGGAGGGAGGGAGGGAGGGAGGGAGGAAGGAAGGAAGGAAGGAAGGAAGGAAGGAAGGAAGGAAGGAAGGAAGGAAGGAAGGAAGGAGGGAGGGAGGGAGGAAGGAAAAGTAGACAGGGAAGGAAGGAAGGAAGGAAGGAAGGAAGGAAGGAAGGAAGGAGGGAGGGAGGAAGGAAGGAAAAGTAGACAGGGAAGGAAGGAAGGAAGGAAGGAAGGAAGGAAGGAAGGAAGGAAGGAAGGAAGGAAGGAAGGAAGGAAGGAGGGAG